AAAAAAAAAAAAAAAAGGTTTTGTTTCCTTGACTGCAGCACTTATGATGTCATCTGTGTTGTATTTTTTTTCATTCCATCCTTTTTTGGTTTCTTTCTGAACTTGTCCCCATCTACTCATCTTTTAAAGCCAACATCAGTCCTATAGGTCCTCCTGCTGCCCATTTCACTCTTACAATGTGTATCACTTTGTTGTATCTGGGTCAGTTGCTTCTCTCACCTTATATCTGTCACCTTATATTTGTCAAAGCACTGTGCAGTCTGGATTTAATGCCTGAACTGAATAATTGTCTCCCCAGGGGTTGCCCGCTAATTACTTCTTATAGTAATGGACAGCAATCCTGGAAGTTTTGTTTTAAAAATTATTTGTTGGTGTTTTTAAATAAATTCATTCTACTTTTATTTATTATTTTAGGCTTGGTATCTCAAGTCTGCCTTTCCCTTCAGGGAGATCCGTTGGGTATGTGGGAGTGAATGGTGTTAGAACCTTAAGGGGGAAAATATTAGGTGCATGATAGTTCTGCAAAATTGTCCCCATACTTCCTTGTCTGCAACTGTAGTTCTTACTGAAGATCCAGGAGTAACTCTTTCCACCTGGCTCATCCAAAGGTCACTGCATTCACCTGTATCAAGGTCTTGCTTTTGCTGAGACTTTGCAGAGTATTACATTGCCACCTGGCCTCCACCAGAAAAGGCTTCTGCCTTCCTGTTGTATCCAATTTCAGCTTCCTTCACAGAAGTCCAATGCAATCCCCATTCTGTCCTGAGGCTGTGCAAATAAATTGTATTGCTTTTGCATTTGTCAACATTAAGATTTATTTGTTGTATCTAGTCTAAACTACCTACCAAAGCTCAGGACTCTGTAGAATTTTTGTTTGCTTTTCCCTTGCCTTCCATGTCCACTTCTCCAGTTTTGTGTTGTCAGCAGACTTAACCAGTTTACAGTCAGCTTCTCCAAGACATTTATATAAATCAGGCTTAGCAGGGGTTCCAAGGATCGTGTGGCGATGAACATTACTCTGCATTTGTTGCCTTTAATTTTCTTTTGCCAAATGCTGACCCAATTCTAGAGTAGATATAAACTGCTGGATATTTCTTGGCTGCTTCTCTCACGTCCATTATATGGCCCCATTGGCAACTGCAGGAACTCCAAAAATGACATTACTTGGAGTCATTTACACAGCTTAAAACTAGAGCAGGAAGGGGCATATTCACTGACCTAATTCAGGGGGAACTATCTGGGGGGAAAGAGAGCTACTAGGAGAAGAAAAAAATATTTGGAGGAGAGAGGAAGAGTTATGCAGGAGAAGAAAGAGATTTATTAGGTGAAGAAAGAGAATTAGTGGGGGCAGAGAGAAAGTTAGGAATAAGGGAGAAAGAGAAGTGTTAATGGGTGGAGAAAGGGAAGTATTAGTGGGGGGAAATAACGATGGAAAGAAGAATTATTGGGGAGAGAAAATTGTTAGTGGGAGAGAAAGAGACATTGCATGGAGAAATAGGAATTATTGAGAAAGAGAAGGATTGGGGGGTGTAAGAAAATTCTAGGCAGGAGAGAAGGAGAATTATTAGGAGGACAGAAAGGGAAATATTAGAGGGCAAGAAAAAAAGTTTTCGGTGGTCAAGAAAAACAGAATGATTATCTTAGAGAAAGAATTATATGTGGGCATGGAAGCAAATTTGTAGCGGGAGGGGGAATGAAAAATGAGAACTAATAGCAAGTGAGAGAGATGGACTGAGGGATTAAAGAGTAAGTAAGCCTCAAGAAATGTTGTTATTAGACAGGGGAATAAGAGTTATTTGTGGGGGAATAAAAATTATTAGCAGGCAAGAAAGAACATTATTAGCAGGAGAAGTGGAATAGGAAGAAAATTATTAGTGAGAGAAGAAGAGAATCATAGGGTGTATAGGAAGAAAATTATTAGTGGGAGAGTAAGAGAATTCTTAACAAGAGAGGAAGAAAATTATAATGTGAAAAGTAGGGAATTATTAGCAGGAAAAGAGTGCACACGGAAGCCCCAGGAGGCCGCACGAAAGCCCATATGGACCCCCTGGCCCAGGGCGCGTGGAGGGCCCTGGAGGCCGCATGAAAGCTCAGAGGGTTCCCCAGACCCAGCACTCATGGATGCCCCGGGAGGCTGCACAAAAGCCCATAGGGCTCCCCTGGCCCAGTGTGCACGGAGGCTCTGAGAGGCTGCACGTACAGCGCTCATACAGAAGGTCCTGGCACACTACGATCCACGTAAACACAAAATCACAGAGAAAAGACACCCTGGTGCCCTCTGTCACTCTACTTAACTTTTCTAGGGGTCTAGATCACCATAGAGCTGCAAGAGACATTCTCAGACGCGTCTGCATCTCCTCCAATTTTCCTTCATTGACCCCTATTTACCTTCATCACTTGCCAAATCAAAGCAGGAAAAAAGACCCTACTCATTAACAAAACAAAAGTAGAAAATGAGCACAGCTAACAAGGTACAAGCTCCCCAGCACCTGGTTTATGTTCCTCTAACCCTCCCCACTGCCCTAACACCCTCCCCAGCAAGGGGAGGGATTCACAACTACAGCCATAAATACAAACAGCTGGGGACACCCAGCGTTTTTCCTTCCCTAAGCAGGAGGATGGAAAAGACAAACACCTGGGTGATAAAACAGACCCTTGATGTGACTAGTGAGACTTCGTATATTCTGTATTTATAACATCAAGAAGTCAGTTGTTTAAGTTCTTTTTATACTCCCTAACACTGGACTGGGCATTAAAAGAGTTCTCCTGGGTAAAAGAGAATTATTAGGGGGAAAATAGAAAAGTATTAGTGGGGGAGCAAGAGAATTATTAAGAGAAAAAGGAATATTACTGGCGGAGAATTATTAATGGGAAAGAGAAAATTGTCACCTGGACAAAAGGACACATTAGAGGGAGAAGCAAGGAATGATTGCCAGGCAAGGAAGAGAAGTATTGAGGGTGCAATAAAAGGGAACTATTAGGGGACAAGAAGGAGAATTCTAGGTGGGACAGAAGGAGAGTTATTAGGGCCAGAAAGGGAAATGTTAGAGGCAGAGAAAAAGAGTGTTTAGTGGGCGAGAAAAAGAAAGAAGGCCCTGGGGGGCTGCACCAAGGCTGTGCACACAGAGGTGCCACGGGGCCACGCGGGGCCCAGGGGAGCTTGGAGCTGCCCAGAGGCCAGGAGGCCCTGCTGGGCCCATGCGCATGGAGGACCTGGGAACCTGCCCAGTCCCGTATGGAGTTCGCAGCCTGACTCAAATCTACCAGAGCACTAATGCAATGGAAAAAAAAAAAAAAAAGAAGAGTTTGGACAGAAAGATTTCAACAGCTACAGCTGACTGGGGCTCGAAAGCCCTATATTTCCAATCCTTTTCCTCTGTCAGCACCCTCTAAACCAAAGACTTACAAGTCAGGAGCACTGACTGCCCCCAGCAAAGAGGACATACACAGGAGATGAATGTGGAGCTACACAGAGAACTCCCAGTTTGGGAAAGAGCTCAGCAAGGAGGAGGAAATAAGAACAGCACAAAATGCAACCTGAATGATGCTCTCCCGCTGCAGTCCCCCTTGTCAGGCATGGCCTCTGATGAAGAACAGTCCCGCAAGAAGATCCCTCCATTATACCAGGGGATGCCAAGCCTAAACGGTTCTGGGAAAACATAAACCATGAAAATGGATCTGGAGAGAGGCTATGCCTGCAGTGAGGGGGCCAGACTGCCGTGGCGATGGAAATGTTCACTTCAGAGAGCCTAAACCCCACTGAGTCCTCTCGCGCCTTAGACAAGCTGAGAAAACCCTTGTGTACCACCTTCTGTACCAGGCTTGGGTCACAATGACAACGCAAGGTTGAACCCTTCAGCCACCTATTACTGGGCAATCGCCAGTATTGACACAAAACCTATAATTGTAAATAAAACTTCTAAAAGGAAAAGTCATCGAATCTCGTTCTTCCTCTAATCAGCAGCACCATTAGAAGGGGCAGCCTGATAATACTTGTTTCTCCAGCTCAAGTGTTAAGGATCATTGTATTGGTATCATATTACTCCACACTTTTCTTTACCAAATACCAAAACGTTTGTACATTCCTGTTGACACAAGATTTGCATGAAACAAGAGGAGTATAAAACTGGGGAAGAGGCTGCAGCAAATCAGTCCCAGGCAGAGATGGCCAAGCTTGTTTTGCTCACTGGTAAGTCCTGCTTGACAACTTCATGTTCTGCCTCTAGGATGAGAGTTGGCAGATACTTTATCTTGGTTGTTACACAAGGGTTTCTTTTGGGATTAATAATGTGCTGTCTGTTTTTTTAACAAGGAAACACTATAACATTTCCTTTCATCACGCTTGCATGGCCAGGCGATTCAGGAGTTGTTTGGTCTATAGATATACAAATTTTTAACTTAGTGTGCTTTACAATTGAAACATGATGTTGGGACCAGGAAAATGGCACTCTGGCAAGCAGAAATGGCCCAAGGACGGTAGTGCTGCTATTGCCTGAAAGGCTGAGGATGGACCAGAGAGCTTCTGTTCTCTGAGCCGTGCTCAGGGCTCCCCACATGCCCCAGCGCTCGGCCCTCTCAGAATGAATCCAGCAGAATGAGCAGCCCTTTTGGAGCACGAGCTCTGTGTGTCTCCACTCCCCACGGAAGGAATTGCAGCCTCACATACAGGATAGGTTGGGGTCAGATGGGTCCTGCTCAGGAGGAGCACAAGGGCTCTGCTCACAGCAGCACGTTCACCGTCTGTAGAGCACAGTGTGAAGCAGGGGGCTTCAGTGACATGTGCCCTTACAGCACTGCTCAGGTCACAGACTAATCACACGTGTTTTTCCTTTAAAGGTCTGGTGCTCCTGCTCAACGCCCACATAGGTAGGTGCTTCCTCCCCCAAAATTAATTCCCCTGGCTATTCATTTTGCTTCGTTCTTACCTTATGTGGCAGCACGGAGAAATACTCCCCAGTATAAAGCATACCAAAGTTCCTTCGCCAACTGGGCCCCGTACAGGCCTGGCCTGTGACGCTGCATGCCCTACAACATTGATCCCTGCCTCTGCGACCATCTCATCTACGCCTTTGCTGGGATGGACAACAACGAGATCGCCACCATTGAATGGAACGACGTGACCCTTTACAAATCTTTCAACGGCTTGAAGAACCAGTAGGTATCGAGAGCAAACGGGACTCCTTGTCCTCCCTTTCCTTCCCTTTCTCTGCACGCTGCTGGTGCAGTCCCCTGGGCCAGCAGTGCCAAGAGAAAGAGGCAGATCGTGATGCTGAGGGCAGGCCGGGCTGCAAGCGTCCATCCACTAAGGATGGTGCCTCTGCTTCGGTCTGCCCTGCCCCAGCTCACTGCATTTTGGACAGGTGACCCCAAGCCTTTACGTGTTGTGTTGACATGTTGCTGTCCCCCACTTTGCAGGAATGAAAATCTCAAGACTCTCCTGGCTATTGGAGGATGGAATTTTGGAACAGCCAAGTAAGTTCAAACCGTCTCAAAACCACAGAATCACGGTACGGTTGAGGGTGGAAGGGACCTCTAGAGATGATCTAGTCGACCAACCAGTTCTGTCCTCTGCTCTTCTCTGCTCCCCTAGGTTCTCAACAATGGTTTCCACTCCTGAGAACCGCCAGACCTTCATCAAATCTGTCATCAAATTCTTGCGCCAGTATGACTTTGATGGGCTTGACATTGACTGAGAATACCCAGGGTCCAGGGGCAGCCTGCCAGAGGACAAGGATCTCTTCAGGGGCAGCCTGCCAGAGGACAAGGCTCTCTTCACTGTTCTCGTTAAGGCAGGCTGAAAAAGAAGATTTCTCATCAAGCTCTTGGTCCGCAAGAAAAGATCCCCAGGACCTGGCAACAACCACCACAGAGGGTCCATGTTGAGGCCTCTTTCTTGGCATCTCTTAGGAAATGCTGGAAGCCTTTGAGCAGGAAGCTAAAGAGGTCAACAAGGCCAGGCTCCTCATCACAGCTGCTGTTGCCGCTGGACTTTCCAACATTCAGTCTGGCTACGAGATTGTTGAGCTTGGAAAGTGAGTAGCAAACTCTCAGATACCAAAACAGTGACTTATGGGGGTTCCTTCATAGAGTAAGGAAAAAATGTGCCATTATTGGGTGGACACATTCCTGGTGGACTCTTGAATCCTTCTGGATTTAGGCAAGAACCAGATGAGAATATTGTTTGTTTTTTGCCCTTTTTTTTTTTATGTGGAGCTTGGTCACATCAGTTAGGTGCTGGTAAGCTGCTGGGTTAGGTGACTCAACCGGCAGGACACAGACAACTGTAATGTTCTCCACAGATACCTGGACTACTTCCATGTGATGACTTACGACTTCCATAGTTCTGGGGATGGACGCACTGGAGAAAACAGCCCTCTATATGATGGCCCAGATGATACTGGCAGCAACAGTTACCTCAGTGTTGTAAGTATTTGTTGGGATCCTGTGCCACAGGTGTCAGGTCTCCACATCAATCATGTAACAGAGTTGAGCTACTATGTTTTGTAACAGGATTATGCTATGAACTATTGGAAGAGCAACGGTGCCCCAGCTGAAAAGCTCCTTGTTGGATTCCCAACCTACGGACACAGTTTCAAGCTCCAAAGCACCTCTGACACTGCTGTTGGGGCACCAACATCAGGAGCTGGGCCAGCTGGATCTTACACAAAAGAGGCTGGGACCTTGGCTTACTACGAGGTGAGCGTGTTCTTTTACATCTAGGAAGCCACAAACAGAAAAGGTCATTGAATTACTCAGCAGAGAATTCCTAACATGGGATCCATAGAATACTCTAAATGCCCTTTTTTTTGTTAGACACTTCAAAACACTCCTCCCTATCCTTCTCCCTAGATCTGCACATTCCTGGATTCTGGAGCCACCCAGGCCTGGGACACCCCCCAGGACGTGCCCTATGCCTACAAGGACAGCACGTGGGTTGGCTACGACAACATCAGGAGCTTCAACATCAAGGTAGAGTGGGAAATGGAGATGTCCTCCTAATGCTGTGGGAGGACTTCTGCTGCAGCAGCTCTTGGCACTGAACGGGGCTTCTCCTCTGGTCCTCAACAGGCCGACTGGCTGAAGAAGAACAACTATGGAGGTGCTATGGTTTGGACCCTTGATCTGGATGACTTCACAGGCTCTTTCTGCAAGGAGGGCAAATACCCTCTGATCACCACTCTGAAGAATACTCTTGGTCTCAAAAGCAGCAGTGAGTAACTTGTGCTGCTAGAGGTAGCACCAATGTCTGTAATGAAAAGCTGGGATATTGATCCCACCATGGGGCCATAAGAGGCACGAGAGTCCATAAGAAACATATAACCCTTTCCCAAATTAAAGCTCTCCCTCTTTTCATTTCAGGCTGCAGGCGCTAACCTGTTCAGTCACTCATTCCCTACAACTCCTACAACTGGATTTGGAAGTGGGAGCATGAGATCAGGTACCAACCCCAGCCGCTCTGCTGATAACAACTCCCATGCTGTGAAATCCAATTGGCTCCGTGCAGACTCTCCCAACAGCAACACCATTTTCTACTCTTTGAATTACAAAACCAACTGGCAGAATTACAAAGGCAGCCTTGCCTTTGATGAGAGCTGCTTCTGCTGCAACTGGCCATGAACTTACCAATTCCAGAACAACAGTCCCCTCTAACCTAATTCAAAGGAATAATAATAATGAAATAAAGAGTTCGCCAACAGCAACAATCCTCTCTGCTTGCACTCATCTCAGTCTTAATATTCTGATGCTTCCTGCTTCAGGGAAGGGCAGGAATCCACAAGCTGGACTTCCAAAGTCCCACACTAGCTTTTTCCAGTTTTTTTGTTTGTTTGTTTTATTTTGTTTTGTTTTTTGCTGTCACAGCAGGCCAGCCAGGCAGAGGGAAGAGAGGGGGAGGAGGAGATGGGGAATATCAGGCTGTGCAGAGAGAGAGCACACAGAGAAGGGTCACAGTGGAACCACCAAGCACTGACTCCTCACAGAGCCATCACACAGGATCTGTGCATAGACTGAGGAACAAGCATTCCCCTCCTGAACAAGTTATTTCCAAACACGCCCATCCTCAAAGGTCCAGCTGCTCTGCTGCTCAAGAGCAGTAGAACCAGCACTCCATGCGTCCTTGTGCCAGCCTCTGGCCTGAATCACAAACCATTCCTCCTCTTCTTCCTCTCACCACAGAGCATCACTTCTAAGGCCTCTGTTGAGAGAAATTAGTGGGAGTGACCATTTCTGCTTCTTCTAATACATCTGGCCTTCTCCCGGGGAAAACAGATCATCTGTAGTATTGGTGGCAATGCACTGCCTGTCCCGAGGAAAATCCCATCACACGCTGAAAGCAGACATGTAGCTCTCCCCTAGGTTTATTGGCAAACACACAGAGCTTGTCATACCCAAGGAATAACTCCCGAATTCCGTTATGCCAGCTCAGCAGCACTGTTGCATTGCCAATAAGCAGCTTGAGTCCCATGAAACCCAAAGACAAATCTTTCACATACGCAGCCCTTCTCTCTATCGCTATCTCTGCATGGCTACCATGAAACCTGGCACTTGCAATACTTGCATCAGCACCAAGGCCCGCACTGGCCACCAGCTCCAGCCACCCTGTTCCATGACACCAGTTCCTGGGCCTCTGTGTCCAGATAAAGGCAGAGACGCCGATGTCCAAAATGCACCCAAAATGTTCACTGACCTTGGCGTTCCTCCTTGATATCAGCTCCCACAGTCACTTGGCTAATCTCCACAGCAGGGGCAGGCAGAACAAAGCCATGTCTTGAAAGTAGCGACTTATGCACAGTGAGGCTGGCAAGGCCAGGACAAATAACATCTTCCTGGAAAACAATATATGAAGGATTTGCCAAAAACAATCTCCCAGCACATGGGCATGAGGCTGTGCAAGTCCCGGGCCCAATCCTGACAAACCACCTCAGCTCTGACAAGATACAGAAGCTAAAGAAATGATCCTGGACCTGAGCAGCAGGAAAGGATCACCTGCACACTGCTCGGCTGGAAAGAACAGGAAAATGTGCATCTCTCTTTCCAGGACCCAGCAGAAAGGAGTCCAGGTGCCCCAAAATTCCCTGAGGGTAGGATTTTCCTCTTGAATGCTTTGTTACCTTATCACACTGGATAAAAACACTGGAAAAACACTCTTTGAAGGTGGCTGTCTTGCTAATCACCTGCCATATCTCATCCACTGCATACACAAAAACTGAAATATAAATCAAAAGCATTTTAATCTGCAGGTCAGTGGGTCTGCTGCCAGCATGTGATACGGGCAACATTGTGGGATTTTTCCAGACTTCCATTCAACCAAGTCTAGGTGACCTCCTGGAAATTCACCTTCACAGCATCTTAACACAACCTAAGAACAGTCTCAGTGCAGAGGAACAGGGACAGATGAGTTGCGTCTGACTTTGCTGTTTGCATGAGTCCTGGCAGGGACTAGTATGGGATGGAAAAAATGAAACTCTCCTCATGGAACACAAGAAAAGACTCAAGTCTCCACATGGACTGGAGAATAAACAAAGGTGCAGAAAAATATATTCCGTGTCCAAAACATCATTTCTAGCCCTCCCCTTTGCCTTTGAAAATGTCATGCTCCTTTCAGATACACCCGGACATAAAACATAGTCTTGTGAAACCAGTAAAATCAATCTTTCAAGTTGATCAAAGATGGGCCACCAAGGAAATCCCAAGAACCACCACTGACGGTTGATGTAGAATTTAAGGAATTCCGTAATTTCTCCTGAGGGGCCTTTGTGGCACAATCAGAAAACAGGACCAATTCCAAAGGGGAGAACTGTTCGGCAGAAGCTCATGTTGCTTCACTTTTCACAATGTAACACCAGCAAACTCTTCCCTCAAGTGTCACTCAATAGCCATGGACCTCGGATAAGCACATTTTGGAGAGCCTAAACCCCACTGAGTCCTCCTGTACCCTAGCCAAGCTGAGAAAACCCTTGTCTACCACCTTCTGTACAGCAGTGCCTACCACCCTGAGACAGTTACAATGACAACACAAGGTTGAACAACTCAGCCACCTATTACTGGGCAATCGCC